GTTACCGAACGGCCTATTGTTTACAAAGCAAGAATTAATATGGAAATATCTTGTTATTTTAAACAAAATCTAAATTTTGTTCAATTTTATTAATTTATTTGTGTGCAAGACTAATGCATTCCTATATTTTACTCAGTGAACGCAGTTGGATAACGATATCGTATCCGAATCCGAATTAAAACGTTTAACTTAATAGCTCGGAAAGCGCCCTTCCGTTCGAGAACGATGTCCAAAAGGAATGATTCGGTTAAAATATCGAAAAGTTCTCGGGGTAAAAAATCGGGGTCCTGAATCGCGTATATTCGTTTTGTAACTGCCCACGGCTGACGTGACCATAGGATCTATGAAGGGCTCGAAACGTTGGTTTGTTTGAAAAAACGAATATACGCAATTTAGATCCGAAAAAATTATGTGTTATTGTAAAAAAAATAGTTTCATTTCCTACATGCAACTATCGCGAAAACCTAATAACTCGATAAAAGTTGAATGAGTGAGAGTAACAACACTTCTGTTATTTTTTTACCGACGTGTTAGATATAGGTACATACATTAATAAAGCTAGTAAAAAGCACAAGTTATATTCCAACATCGTTTCAAAACCTGGTACAGGTACATACCATCGCATGTAATATAAATAGCGACCGTAGAAATCAGTAACTAAATTAACTAACCCTGAAGGTACGTTTTAATCTAATAAATAGGCAATGACACTAATCGTATATCGCTTCCTTATCTCTCTCCCTCGAAGCTATATAAATGGGTGGTATCGTTACGAGCCCACTCACGGATGTTTTGCGCCCAACTTATCCCCGGCCAACTTGTTCCTTTTCAAAATTTTTTTATCATTATAGGTTACACTGGATATCGACCAATACGTAAGAAAACTTATCGACTCTGATGGTAAGCTACTCGCCTGTCCATAACAGTTACAGTGCCAATCAGAGCTTTAAATTGTAAAGATCGGAGGGGTACTACCACTGCGCCCGACACCGTGAGACACAAGTTGACAAGTCCCATGTGCCTGTAATTTCACCAGCTCGCTTACCCTTCAAAACCGAAACGTAGTAATGTTGACATTACTGCTTGGCGGCAGAAATAGGACTCCCGAACGAGCGAACGCGTCAATTTTAATGTGTCAAAATATACCCACCAAGTGTGCTAATTCGCTTACAGCGTCTACGTTGGTGAGGGGAAGTTAAGTACAATTATTTTTACGAATTAAATACTTAATATTATCGAGTTGTTAGGTTTTTGTGATTGTTATTAGGAAATGAAACTATTTTTCCGGATTTAAATCGCGTATATTTAGCGTAGCGTATTGTAAAACCTAATGTAGCGTAAATTGGAATGTTTTCTTTGTAAAATTAAAAATAAGGTATTTTATTAATAACTTAGTGTTTTTGTAACTATAGTGAAAAAATAGGGTGTTTTGCATTAATATTAGACATAACTGATTGATGACTGTACCATCTCAGTCAACCGTGACCATGGGACCTGTAGGTAAAGGGCTCCGAACGTCGGTTTGTTTCAAAAACAAATATACGTGGTTTAAATCCGGAAAAATAGTTTTATTTCCTATACTTAATATTATTTAATGTTTTTGGTGGAATATACTTAAATATGTATTAATAATAATAATAATGCAAATTATTAACTATTTGCTTTCAGTAGTAATTAAAGTAAGCAAACAACAAATAAAAAGAATAGTTATTTGTTATGTAAGGCTACAAAGTTGTTGTTTGATTACTGACGCGAGTGCTTAAATCTGAGCAAGCGAAGGATCCTAACATTTCAAAAATAGATTCCTGAGCGTAGCGAGCGTTTTAAGCCACGAGAAAAACACACAACTTTTCACCTCACTATAGCGAGGAAAATGGTAATAAGAAAAAGAGTTGAACTATAAAAAACAAAATTAGTTATCGTTGTCAATTTAAAGTCAACAATAATAAGAATAAAATCTAACAACGGATTTATATTACATAAATAATGTACCTACGATAAAGCGTAGTTGAACGTGTCATTATGTTTTTTTTTTCATCGAAAGAAAAAGTTAGGTACACCACAGTCCATCGTCAAGTTCCAATTTCAAAAACCTTTTCCACGCTAACGTGGAAAACGCTTTTGCGCGCAGATTTCTAATGAGAAAGAAAGCCTTTCCGAACTAGGGAAGTGAAAAATAATTTGTTTCAAACGCTGACGCGCGGAGCGACGATTTCGTGCGCACTATGAAACTTTTACGTATAATTGTTCCTGGGTGCCCACAAAAAAACACGCGTAACACTCGTGCAAATTCGCTCATAGCGAATTTCGCTGCAAGTTTCAGCGCTACTTTGTGGCTACCTTTTACAAATAAGATCATATATTTGTAATTGACGCTCGACGCTGACGTTTGTAGCGTCAAACGAATTCGCTAGGAGCGTCGCTGCTCGTGACTCTCGCGTTATTAGGTAATTGCTAAGTTAGAAATTAATTATTACGTCGTTTCCTTTGACGTATATTTACGTATTTTCCTTCTTCGGCTGTTATCTATCAAAAAGTCAAGGGTCAAATAATCGACAAATTTTAAAGTGCTGGTTTAATTGACGTTGTTAAACTTATGTTTCTTTTTGTCATACCAAGTAACGGGACAGACAAGTCTTGCACCTGGTGGCGCAAGCGACACGCTTGATGATCTGATCAAAGATCTGACGGACACTGCCACTTTGAGACATTGACAAGTCTCATGTGCCTGTAATTTCATCAAAACTTTTTTTTTAATCTTTTGAGTTTAAAGAAACATTTAGTACATCATATTTAAACGTGTTTTGGATAAAAGCGACAATGACTGTCGTAACGTACGTGGCATTGAGTGTATTTAAATTTTAAAGTGTAAAAGAAATGTCGTTGTCCCTACTATAATTGTAACAGTTTATTGTAAAATTTTATTTATAAGGTTCAATCAACAATACGAATTATTAATATTATAGGAATATCACATTCTAATACTAGAATTCGATAATACTATAAAGAAATTATTTTAGGATGAGACCAATGGGAGAGTTCGTCAATGCGCGGTCGGACATTACCGTCGGATGATTAGCGAAGAACTTAACGGCAGTTTTGTACGTACTTAGGGCCTTGAATTGAAAAATGGCACACGGGGATCATTGTAATATGTTTTGTAGGTAAATTGGAACGAAAACAGCTAGAAAAAAAGATTTATTGCTTTTAACCTCCCAAGACGAGGCCTACATCAAAATGTACATAATAATCATGTAAAGTCGTTCAAAAACAGACAATATTCTTCCTATAAGGAAGTGTGAGATAAGGACAGAAAGAAGATCATGTTAAACGCCTAGCGTACATTATAAAAACGAAATCGCATATAGAATAAAAAATAAAATAAAAAAACTTATATCTAGCTGAAATTGACCTGTGGGTGACGAATGTAAGGTCAATTTTCCATTTGCTTTGGGCGCCTGTCGTAACAATTGTGTTGCAAAAAATCGTCAATATTTTGTTACAAGCTAGATAGTTGCATGATGTTTTTTTGCTTAATAACATCAAATCTTCAATATATTATTACGTTTAGGTTAAAAACCAGTATTCCTATCAAAAAAAGCATAGATCAGATACTCATGATCCAAATAGGTGGGTACGCTAAAATCCGTCTGAACTGATGTGTTGTTGCTCACAAAGCGACTAGTCGATGCACTAATTTTAAATGCAAGGTAAAAGTTTGATGAAGATCCAAAAATTAAGTTTGGAAAATTATTCTAATAAATCAATCAATCGTGTCAAGCATGGCCGGTTCGAAAGGGATAAATTCCATATGGTCTTAGGGTATCTAGAAAAATACGTTTTTCATACTAAACTGAAGCATATACTTATATTTTACTACATTTCAATAATGTACTTGGGCATTTAATGCTTTTCTCATTGTAGTTTGCTGGGTTTTAGGAAGTTAACAATTTGCGTAGATTGTTAAAAATATTTTTTTTCTTTGTCAAGCAATTTGGATATAATACTTTTAAGTACGTATTTAGTATCTCCCTTTACTATATGTTTATTACCTTTTTTAAGTTTCGTGACTTCGAAAACCTGTCTTTCAAAGCACGCAATCCTCCGATCTGCCCTCGTAGCAACCTAGTTAACACTAACAGGGTAACTTATACTGCCACGTCTCCGTGTTCTCTTCAGCAATGTCTCCGACAACTTCGTGGCTAATGGGACAACATTACACTTTCTCACTTTGAGAAATAAAATCATGCCCGATGGGAATTTTCACGCAGATGCTCATCTTAATGTTATTAGCACCATTAAATAGGGAGATATTTTTAAAATATCTATTTTATTACAAACTTTGTTAACTTATTTCATAGTTTTGAAAAGGTCACTTCAGTTTTTTATTCGACATCAAAGCAGTGTCTATTCTAAACCTATTTCTACTTTTGATGTTAAGTAGGTATAAGTTGTCACAACAAACAAAAGCAAAAAAAAATCCATCCTCTAAAAATAAATATAATTAATTGGCACCAGAGCATATTATCGATAAAAAATACTTTTAACGAGTATAGGCTTCATCGATATTCGTTTAATACCTAATTTAAAATTCAATGATTTACATGGTGGTCCAAATAGATTTAGTTCTGACTCTACATTCTAAACGTCTTATTGATATTATATACGTAGATATACGAAACAGCTACTATACGTAGTGGATTAGATTGGTTTTGATCTAGTTATTCTGGGAATCAACCCAGAATGAATTCCGTTGCTCTGGTACTTATAGTATGGGGAATTCCCTAGTTTGAGATCCAGCATTTGGTGTGGTTATCTGGCACATTATTATTATTATTATTATTATTATACTTAACTATTTTAATGTTTTAACATTGCGAACCCGTTAAAAAATTAAAAGCACGCGTTTGATAATATGGAACGATGACTTAGGTACCTTGCTGTAGATTGTCTATAGGTTGAGAAAACGTATATTTACAGTGCCATCTTTATTTTTGCAGGTAACTATGAAGTTGAAGGTCGCCGATAACGGTAACGTGGTCGAAATTCGTCAACAAGAGGTCTCGGCCGACGTGAACTTTGACAACAGAAGGTGGCTCTCGAACAACATCGATTCTCGCGACTCGTACAATTCTCGGTACAATAACTCGCAGTTTAATTCAAACTTTAATTTTTACGATTCGAGGAATAGTATCGATTTCCTAGAAAGTACAGATGTAAGAATAGAAGCATTCAATAGAGATTCAAACACCAACACAATATGTAACAGACAATATAGAATTAACGCAGAAAACAACGGATTGTTTTTGAACTCGTTAAACAACCAACAAACGACCAATCTGGAGGGATCCACGGATACTACGTTCTCTACGCGAGAAAGCTTTCTAGGTGAGTTCCCAACTTAATTTGTTTGTCATGGGGGTCTTATCAAATTATTTCTTTAGTGGCTCAATTGTTCGCCGCCCTACAGCTTTATAAAGGCTAAGGATACTCTTGTGACGATGTGACCTTTTTCATCGTCATCCCACCTTTTTTTCTGGTTCCTGGCCACCTACTTTGAAATTTTGAATCATTTTGAATTCCTTTTTCTTCTTCGTCACTTACTTTTCTTCTTTCCATCGCCACTCTCTACTAAATTTCCGAAGCGAGCTCACGTCCTCAACTTGACATAAGATTCTGACCAGTTAAATCATGTAACCTAACTGCTTGTAAAGTCTTATATTTGTAGTACCATTGAAAATCATGAACTGCTTTTAAAGCACAGAATTTCTAGAAATTACAAGCCTTTTTGGGATAAGTTTTTACCATAACCTGTATATAATTTAAGTAGGGGGTGCTTTACACCATTGTACCTGTTTTTATATCATTGTTTTGTTACAGCCTTTACGTCTTTTTTCCCCTTTCTGTACTCTATTTCTGCAATAAAATTCATGTGAACAGAGCCTTCTATTTAATTACGCGAGTTCCGCGTGACATTCTTTTGTAATTTGTTTTGAATAACAAGCGCGTTTGTTTAGGAGACACTAATGTATCTCCAAATGCAACACCCGTCGACGAGGAAAGAGCATTTGAGCACTCAGACACTGATGAAATGTCTGAAAAAAGCCTTAACCCAGTACCCAGAGGAATTGTAAATCCAAATTACCCTGGCTTTCAGCACTTTGCGCACACATTGCAGGTAAAGTTTCCTTAGTCAAAGAATCCTTGGAAGTGTTTAACTACTTCACTGATGTTAGGGAACAGGAGAAGCCTTATCGAAATAACAGATTATCCATAGTTATAGTACTTATAGGTTATTATTTCAAAAGACTAAGTCATAACACTAGCAAGTATTTTCACAAGCTTGAAATAATTTTTAGGACTATTCTGCAAATATCGAAAACTTTGATCCGTCAGAAAATGAAATGACTGACGACGATATCGACATAGAAATTACGGATAGTAATTATGAGCCGGCACCTGACCACGTTGAAAGTAGTTTAGAGCATGAAAACATTAACAACAATAACAATGGCAATGACGATTTAGATGAGAGGATACAATTAACGATACTACCAACTCAAAATGATTTTCACAAACAAATTGAAATATTAGAAAATGCACAACATAATGAAATACCAGATCTTTTAAAAACAATATCTACAACAAACAACAACAACATTGATACCAAAGATTACGATTTACATTGTTCTGAGATTGTTATAGAAAATAACTTTCACACGAAAGACATCATAGGCGACTTTAATAAGGAAATTGAAGACGAAATAAAACTTCTTTTAAATTATAATATAAACATTCAAGATGACTTAGAAGAATTACGCAAAGACATTCAAGACACATTTACAAAACCAATAGAGAATACAATTAACAATATAAGTGACGTAGTAAACCACGTTATAAAGAAACTTGTAAAGACGCATATGGACGCATATGAGCAGAATGAGAATTTATTACCCGAAGAAGAATCGAAATTAGAAATACAAAAAGAAGAAATAATTAATGATGTAAACAAAGATAATGAAACAAATACTAGGAAAGAAATAAAACTCAGTAGGCCTACATTTTTACTAATTGAGAACAATCCAGACGGTAATATAATAGACGCATTTCTGTCTGACGCTAGGGACGAGATCAATGTTTATGAGCATGAATACGACACGGAAGCATTGACCAATAATGTAGAAAAGACAATTCAACAACTAAGTACGGAATTAAGGAAAATAATTCCTAAATTAGATGAAATGCGAGAAAGGGATAAACTATGGAATGAAAGTAAAAAAGAATTGCCAGCTCTAGTAATAGACAGAAACTCGAATGAAATAGCCAGTTCCTCTAAATGTTACACTGCTACGCCTGCTACCAGAGCTGAACAGACAATAGAAGTTAGCAGGAAGCCCATTTTTAGTCAAGTGCAACCAGTAAACAGAAAAGTCGCAATAGCAACTCGCATGTAAGTATTGTAATTATCTTTGGACAACTAATTATTTTGAATTATGTTTAAAATTACGATTATTAAACCACCGATCATTATAATTAACAAACTTCCCGATATACTTTTAATTCAGTTATACCATGAGTCAAGTTTTTCCAAAATAGATTTAATGATGTGGTTCATATTATCCCACTAAATCTGAAAGACTCAAATCTTGTAGGAGAATGAGATAATTCACTGATTTGTAATTTAGCCAGCAAGCTGACGCAATAAGCCGATGTAGCCGGCGCGCGCCAGCAGAATTATTCATTCGGTAAACAGATGCGGCGTGATATTTCCATTAAGAATCAGATGAGCTTTAGAAAATTGCTCTGAAATTACCTATAAACTACTATGCAATCTAATTTCAGTGAACCGCGGGACAATGAGCGACTGAGGGATATTACTCCTTCGAAAACTAGTTATCGAAGTGCTCAAACTAATGCATCCGTCCGTAAACATGACGCTACAAGAGACTGCGACTTAGGTAAGTAGTTTAGTTCGTACATATTTTATTCTATTTAGGTATTTATTTTTCATAAAGTACCATACGATTTTGAGATACAACTTTTATATTATTATCGTCATCAATTTTATAAATATAGTACATCCAAATTCAGGATCTATTTGTGACAAGGTCCCAAATACACATTGGATCAGTATGGCAGAATAGTCTATTATTTTCCATAGTGAATGATATAATACGGGTTGTTTTAGTATAGAATGATAATATATAATATAAATAACTTAGATACATATTACAAATTGAGTACCATTTAATCATGTAAATAAATATGATCTATTGAACTGTACAGTATTGAATACAATACATTGTATGTACTCGTATAACGTACCTAGGTACAATTACGGCACTAATTATGTAGATATACAAATATTTAATGTGTACTTAATTTAAACGGTGTACATGCGTAACATACCTATTTAAGTATGTACAGTCAAGAGCACATCAAGCTTGACACTTTGTACTTTGGCCCGTTCTTTACGATAAGCAGCATAGAGTTAGATTTAAGTGTTAAGTGTCAAGCATGACTTGCTCTTGACTCTGTACCTTACCTACTTGTTCAAAATCTTAACTTTAAATCGAATTATCTTTACTTTCAGACAGTTTCGATGTGTATAACATAGAGACAGCATTGCCTAAGTTAGATTTAGATGCGATCGAAAACCACTTGAAGGCAGCTAAGGAAGCAGAGAGGAGGGTAAGTGTTCAATATTTTAATACTGAAATTGCGAAATGATTTACCATTATAAAAGTAATTAAGTTAAACACAAAGCTAATTATAATCACACACGAAGAACGAATAATATCACAATCACTTTGAATTTCCGCGCTACCCAAGGTAACGGTAAATGCACATTCACGTCTACTCCACGTCTGCCGCCGCAACCATGTGTAACAGTAAATAAAGTGTCAATAAGTGGTAGGCGTTCTGCTTTCTACGGTGACTCAACGGTGCATACAGACTGCCAGTCTCTTTGCACCAGCATTACTAGCTAGGTGTGCTCGGAGTGCTAATTTTTCATTACTGTTTGTTGTGCTGTGTTCTACTGTACTAGTGCAAACAAACGTATAAGTGATGGCGTCTATGCCATATTTTAACTCAGAACAAAGACATTACAAAAAGGATACCAGATTCCTTCTAGATTTATACACAATCACTTATGACAATCACGAATCAGTGGATAATGTTTGCTGTCTCGTAAGTATTTGATTTTAAATAATTTGTAATAATGACACCACCTTCTTGTGAGTAGTACATTTTGAAATGTGACAAACTATACTCTAGCCAAACTCGATGTAGAATGTTTAATAACAAAGCGTTGCTAGGCAACCAATGATGGCTGGTGTGAAGAACCTTTTTTGTCTAGGTATGCTCTTTACTTTAGGCCTCTACGTTATTATTTTTAGAGTTTAGGCTAACTCTGCCCATAGCCTGCTGCGTAATTGGAATTTAGATAGGTAAGAGATTGTGCAGAAGTAATACTTACATAGCCAATTAAATGAAGTTTGCAAAGTACTTATTGATACGTATGATGAACAAGTTTCAAGTTTTTGATATCTATTTATACTTACTGTTAGATCAGTGTTGGGCAAAGTACGGCCCGCGAGTCTACTCTGGCCCGCAAAGGGCTATAATCCGATATCCGCCAAGGTCAATCAACTTTTTTACAGACACCACGCAACGTAGTGAATGTGTAAAAAAATAAACAGAGGCATGATAATCCTAATCTGAATTGATATTACGATTTCCTAGTTTTATATCTTGAAATGTGTAGCGACGTTTATGGATTATATTTCAAAATATTAATGAAAAACTTAAATTTTTCCCTCTCTTGTGTCTACTGGGTCACCATAATTTATATCGTAAAAAAAAACAAAGCTTCAAGTAATTTTTTTTTTATTATTAGCTCTGGATGAAATACTATTTGAAGTTTGATCTCCTGACTCCCAATACCAATCACACAAAATTTATGTAATTTTTTCTATAAATATTTTATGAAATTGGGCAAAATGAATAATTTTTAGAAATTTTATTTCGACTACAGACTAATTGAAGTTTTTTTTTATTAATTAGGAAATGTTAGCTAATTCATAAATTTTATTTAAAAATTTTGGGATAGTAAAAAAGTTGATTGACCTGCCAACGTCCCTTCTAAAGTAGGAATGTATGGCCCTCGGAAATATATGTTTACAGCCTCGTCGATATCGGTTCACAAAATTAACATACACACAAAATTACAGAACACTACACAATAATAAAAGAAATATTTGAACACAATAATAAAAGAAATATTTGAATTTCAAAACAAAATGCATTTTTTTCATTCTGATCCCTTGTGTAACTTCTTTTTTTCTGGCTCCTAATGAAAAAAAGTTTCCCCAACCCTGTGCTAGATAGTAGGTAACGGTAGATGAAAAAAAACAAAATTGTAAAATTTTATTTTATATTACTTTAAATAAAACATCTCATCCAGTGTCACTTTCTGATGCTGATGAACTACTAGCACTACTATCTGCAACCTGGATGATAAATTTGTCAATAACATTATCTGTTATACCATCCAGGTCTCTCATTCTCTTTTCTTCTTGTATAACGTGGCCAATACACTTTTGCCATGCTGCAGGGGTTATTAGATCCATTGATTCCAGTAATAATCTTTTTAATTCATCCATTTTAAATGTTTTATTTTTCCCTGCAACATAGCCTTTGACTTGCCCCCATATCATCTCAATTGGGTTTAATTCACAGTGATATGGGGGCAAACGTAACACTTCAATATCCTTTTCTTTAGCATATGTATCAGTGGCATATGCCAAGTATTTTTCTTTTATTGGTTTTAATATGTCTATAAGCTCCCTTTTTATTAATGTCTCCTGGAACGAGATACCTTTGCTTGTGAGCCAATTCTGAATATCAACTTTTTTCCACTGCATATTTGGTATTAGTTCCAGTCGACGAGAATGATAGGGAGCATTGTCCATCACTATAACAGAGTGAGGCTCAATTAAATTTATAATTTTTTTGAACCAATCTTCAAACACTTTAGCGTTCATTTCTTTATGGTAATCGCCTTCCCCTTTCTGACTCTCGAAAATTAGCTGACCCCCTTCCAAAAATCCAGCTTCATTTCCTAAAAGAAAAAAGAAAGATTATTGATGACCACTGAATGGAGGTTCAGCGAATGCTGAAAAGTCTATATCAACCAGTGTTGATATTGGAAGTCTTATTATGTATGCTTGGTTCACATAATGGGCTACTCTGTTAATTAATTTTCACATAAGTAAGAATTAAAGAATTAATATTTTGACGATACGCCATCAAAGTATTAACTATAACAACTTACCAATGTGCACTATTATCAACCGCTTCCCTTTTCCAGAAGGCCCCTTCAATCCTGTAGACAATCCTTCTCGGTGAGCTTGACGGGTTGAATGTATTGTAGTATCTTGCCACACCTTTGTTTTTGTATGACCTTCAATAAATAAGAAACAATAATGTAAATGATGAAAGAAATCTGTACTGAATATTGTGGTAGTTATTTATAAAATCACTGATATAGCTTTCAGTATTGATTTCAGCTATGGAGTCTATAATGGTGTATTAGGAATTTTGTGAAAATTGTAAACGGATTGTTGAAATACATACCTTCATTAATCCATGTTTCGTCAGTGTAATAAATTTTCCACCCATCTTCTCTCATTTTTGAAATTTTTTGCAAATAGTTGCGCCTCCATCTTACGATTTCTCTTTTCTCAATTAGAGCACTTTTTCTTGATCTTTTTAAATATTTGATTTGTAGTTTTTTAAGTAATTTTTGGAAAATTGTTCTTTTGAAATTTGGTAAATCATCATCTTCGTTTACTGACATAAGAACATTGTCCACAGTGGGAAGTTCATTTCTAAAAAAGAACTCATGAACTTTTCTCCTAATAGCACTCAACTCGAAATCTAAAAGTTTGTCAATTATCGTTGCTCTTTGAGGAGGCGCAACGGGTGAGCTAACACGGTGCTCATTTCTGTACTGTTTCAGTACCTTGTAGACTGTAGCAAGGCTTACGCCGGCGGTCTCCGCGGTTTTCTTAGCCAAATCCTTTTTGTACCAGAATTGATCTTTTGGCCAAGTATCTTCAACGAGTTTATATATGTTGATTATAGTAGTCTTTTCGGAAGACCTCAGAGCGGATTTCTTTTGGCGCTTCTTCATGGGCGTTGAAAAAAGCTTCGTCGAGCTTGGTCCAGGTTGGTCACTCATTGTAACACAATAACAACAAAACCGTAACAAATTATAACAGAAAGTCAACAAAAACACTCAACAAATAATAACTATAACAACAAAAACTCAAAAAAGCAGAATCGCACGGAAAGAAAAGTACTTGTATTACTGACACAGAAACAAGCAAACAAGTGAGTGATGGCGTCGGCCATTGTTTGTTTACAAATTTGCGTTCCGTTCCACACCAGTTTGAAATGTATTTTATGTTTTCAAAATAATATTAATTACTGCCGATTTACATCGCTATATTCTATAGCAATTCGCTTATCATTTATAATAATAAAATATTTTTTATATTTTTAAATCACGTTTTGTTTATTTCAAGCAGATTTCTTATTTTTTGGCAGTTACCAATAAGTGAAGATGCTACGTTTCGTGGAACGTTATACGAAGGTCAATAATACGTCTAAATTAAACTGCAGTTATTGTTTTGAATACTATAAGGATTGTAACGGTGTTTTTTATTTACAGACTTATTACAAAAGTGCATAAATGTTTGCAAACCCTTCCTTCAAATCAAGAAACCATTAGGGATGAAACAGTTTCATAAATAATTAGTTACTGGTAATTTTTATATTGGTTTCCAATCACTTACTAGTGGTTTGAAATTTCTTTTCAACAAAATTCATCACAGACACGACTACTAGATTAGTATCATCAATGACCTAATAGAATTTCGTGCAAAAATATTGAAATTGTGGTAATCGTAAAACAGTTTGAGGTGAAAACCCTAAAAATCATATGTTTTTGTTTGTTTACATTTATTCTACATCGAGTTTGGCTGGAGTATAAGTAGGGAAACTAAAAGAAAAGTCAGATCGTAATAATAGAACGCAGCTTTTCTTTCGTTGTCCTTGCCCTAAATGTCAAATTATGACAGGACGATTGACAGGACATTGGCCATCCATCTTAATTTTTTTTTTGTTTACTATTACAATACGTCGCAACGAAACTTTAGACGTGCCATATTTATTGCCAAAACTGAAGACTGATTAATTTTAAAATGTTTGAAAGTTTAGTTAGTAACATTAGAAGAAAGTTTAGCAAAACTGACGTTGATATTAGCGACCATGGGGATTCTGTGGAAAAGACTGGATTGAAACGGAGTCTCCATATGTTTAAGACAAAATTATTGAAGACAGAGGAAGCTGCTTCGTTACCTGTGCCTCAATCTGATAACTTGGCTTTAAGTCCAAGAGCTATTGGTCTTGCGGAATGTGCCCAAACAGAGATAGAGTGGCCAGTTCTGACGGATAAACATCCTAACATACTAGATAGATTCACGAGAATAGTCACTATCCGTGATGATATGAACTACGACAGAGTACGTTTAACTGTAGTAAACAACCACGTAATAGACTATTTTGGTCGTAGTTTGACAATAACATATTGTTTACAGAAACACAATGACAGGGAGGAAATAAGGCGACGGCTGGCCATGGGGGCTGATGCTGAAGAATATTACAGCATGGGGCACATAGAGCGTCCAGGGAAAAAACCCAGCTTACACTCCCGTCTTCAAAATGGTTCGTTACAAAATGGTATTTTATGAAACTCATGTTACCATTGTTTTGTGTAATTCTCCCATAATGTTTGTGTTCGTAATATGGTGTTGGGATATCATTTTCGGTGTCTTTATTATAAAATGTGTATATTATAAAATGTAACTAAAATATATCTTATCATTGTATATTGTAAATTTAGACATTAACCTATCAAAATGTAGTTAGGATTGTATGTTGTTGTGATTAACATATGTTGTGATGTGGCCAGGGATGAACCTCCAAATTTGTTTCATGAATGAGACAGCCTCGGACAATGAATCTCAAGCTTCAGATGTTGAGAGAAATCTTAACTATAGCAACAAAAACTCGAGGTCTAATATTTTCACAAAATCAAACTTCAATCATCCTTATCAAACTCGTCCGCTGTCTGTAAATCTTACGAAACATGACAAAGTCAGCATTGCCCCAAGCGGTGAGTACATTCTGCGTCATTAAGACTGTGTTAAATCCATTATAATACAAAGACCGGAAATTGTCGCTACATCCTTAACTTCATTGTGTTGATGTAACCTTGTCACGTAAATGTGTCTTAGATTGAAAATGTAAGCTTCACAACTGTGATCATGATAATGTTGAGTATATTCATAATTTTTTTCAGGCCCAAAATTACGTCCAACATCTTTGTCAACTAAAACACAGAAGTCCAGATCTACACATTCATTGGGCCATATTGAGTTAAAAGAGTCTGACTTTTATGCACTGCAGGCAACACTACAGACCGAAGCTAGGGTTGCATTAGCTCAGGCAAAAGAACTGGCCCGTGTTCAAATGGAGGTAATAGAATCATATAATGTATAGTAATATAACATTAAGTTTGTCCTATGTACCACTAGTTTAAGTGTCTCAATTTCATCAATCCTAAATAATCATGAAGTTCAACCTTACATGTATACTTACAAAGTACTGCTTACTAAATTAGTTGATAGTTTATAACTTTCTATTCAAGTTATATATTTATTTGTTATACTTTATTATTTGTTAGTGTACAAAAAGTTGGCATAAATGATGGGACTGGTTGTGAGCCAACCGACGGAAGCGTAAATAGCTATTCTCTCTTTTGTACTATTGTTGGCTGTAACCTAGATGTTATGAACTGCCTCTGTGGCAGAACAGTTACCATGCTGGACTGCCACGCTGAGGTCCCAGGTTCGATTCCTGGGCTGGGATAAATATTTGTATGGCCTACATTTGTTTCGCTCGTGAGTTTGGGTGTAATTTGTGGTTGTCTATGTGTGTGTCCATGGCAACCGCGACACAGGGTTTTTCTAGTGCAGAGCCATGCTTAGTGTGTGCATGTGTGATTATATTATAGATTATAATATTCACAATAAATGTTTTTCTTTTCATTAATTTTACAACTCATACTTTTGGTAAATATATAAAAAGTTTAAATGTAATGTGTGTTTTTATGTTACAGCGTGAGAGGCGCTCGCGGGCGGTGTCGCCAGTCACTGAAATGCTGCGCAGGAGCATGGAGAAGGCGAACGCGCCGCTCGCGCCGGACCGCCGCCGCGTGTCGCGACAACTACTCACTGACATGAACATTGCGCAATTACAGGTAATTTATATTTGACCATGGCTTCTTAGTACAGGAGGACGTTATCTGACTATAATGATGGAGGTAATTTATAGTCTAAACAAAGCTATTTTTTTATACAGATTATCTATGGATATATATAATCTGTATAATATATAATATATCGTTTCTTACGGAATGGCGTACATAAACTGGTATTGTTATAAGTATTATAAAAGGGTCCATTACCTCTGTCTGCTCTAAACGACGATAATCATAATTATGTATCAACAAACTCGAAATGTTACCACTTTTAGGGCCAATTGCACCTTGGTTTGTTTTTGGCAACGAATGGCGTTTAAGGGCTGTATCATATTTTTATTCTGAAAAACAGGGTTAACAGAGTAAGAAATGGGGCTTGCTACAATCTCCGCTTACAAACAAAATTGCTTTGTGACTAAGAAGGCTTCAACATTGGTAACAGTGTGTGTATGTTATGAAGTTTCGATATTCATTCGAAAAATGGACTTGGCGCGGTAGACCGGACATTCAAAAATAGCACTGACTGTTTGTTTACGAACCATTTCCAGCTGTTTACAACAACCCTCTGCAACCCAGAATCTGTTTGATATACATTACTTTGTTCACATTCAATATAAAAAACACCCCCATTGTCAAATATTACACTTACATTCAAAACAAATTATCCCACTTTTTACTTCAGGCCATCTAAATAAGTAATGTAATAAAATTATGCTGTGATTTCAAATATAGGGCTGTAAAAACAACTAGTACACTTCCCTGTTTATCTGTCTATACTTACTGTGGTGGTGTATTGTATTGTTGTAGTGAAAGTCAAATAATTATTTATTCCATAGGTAAAATTTGTACTTGAAAACGTCATTTTTTTAAGCTACTGCTCGTTCACTACGCTGACCTCCCTGAGAAGAACTACCAAGAAACTGTAGGGATATGTAGTATCACACTTTGCTAGATATACGGCAAGAGACTCTTTCGATTTTCCGTGGTCATTATGCCCTTGATTGAAATGCTTATTACGTACATTCCACGAGTTCATTCAACATTTTTGGATTAAGAGAACTCGATTGAAGTCTGCTAAAGTAATAAGTCAGCGCAAAAACGGTGTAACCCATTTTTAATTTTACTTCTACAACATTATTTTAAATGATACTAAAGTACGTAATTATTATATATTTGGATGCTATTCTTATGTATAAGAAATGTTTATAAATACTATAATGCTATGTATAAATTTGGTTAATTTTAAATCGTTTATTATCCAAACTAAAGTAATTATCTCTGTTACTTTTTGACGCCTAAATTCCCGAACCAATTTTGTTTAGCAAGCGGCAGTAGAGCTCCTTGTGAAAGAGTTCGTCCAGGGAAGCTCTGCCACCTTACCTATTTTTGCCGCCAAACGGTAATGTTAGCATGACTGCGTTCTTTTTTTGAAGGGTAAAGGTGCTGGTGAAATTACAGGCACATGGGACTTGTGAATGTCAATTACTCAGGGTCTCGGGCGCAGTGGCAGTGCCCCTCAGATGTTTGCGATGTAAAGCTCTGTATGGCACTGCAACTGTTATGGACAGGCGTGTAGCTTACCATCAGGCGCACGACTGGTTCGTGCCGTCACTTAATATTATATTAAAAAAAGATTAATTTTGGTATGGGACCTAGGAGATGGACATAGGCTACTTTTGTGGCAAGCATAAATCTTGAAGGGGTAAAATAGGGGATGAAAGTTTGTATAGAGATGTGGGACCATTACTGAGGTACCCTCTTTCCAACAAAAAAGAATCGGGTTCTGAGGTTTTCGCGATTGTTACACATAGGAAATGAAACTATTTTTCCGGATTTAAATCGCGTAAATTTGTTTTTTCAAACAAACAATGTCAACCGTGATCATGGGATCTGTAAAAGGCCCGAAACGTTGTTTATTTGAAAAAACACATATACGCGATTTAAATCCGAATCATCAAAATCGGTTCACAATTGCCACAGTTATCGCGTAACATACATACAAAAAAAATACAGTCGAATTGAGAACCTTTTTTGAAGTCGGTTAAAAATTTGTATAGTACAGTAAGCTACAGGAAGTACCTTTGCACTGATAGCCTCATTTTATAAATGTCAGAGTAATTTCTTTTTGTTAAAGATCGTGTTTGAGCGTGTATGTATGCCTTAACTAAAGAAAAAAATGTTGTTCTTGATGAATATCGCTCGTGTTTACCGATCGTTGACCTTGTGGCTAGTTCTTAGCGCGTGCTGGCTGCTGAGTCATGCACAAAAATCGTTATTACAATGAATTTGGTCTCAATTTAATCTACTACTACAAAGCCTTTTGTGTTACGATTTTTTGTTATGGACCGGCACTTCCGAATCTGGATCGGCAGAGTGAAATCTTTACTCATCAAAATTTACTAAATATGAAAGCAAATGAAAATATATGGTTACATGAATAATGATAATTGTATAGCTGGATGGTCTACCGCATAATTATTCAGAATTCACTAATTCAATATCCATAACAGCAATAGCCTCAAGAAAAATATTATTTTATTGAAATAAACCTTTTCATGCCCTAACACTATGTTTGAATGTGAAATTAGTAGCAATAATAATATTACAGTTCAAATAGCACTTTCTTTTCCGTTTGTTTCGTAGTTCGTTCGGCTAGGCTCGGCTCGATTGTGATTTGTGTTCGCCTGTCGTCGAGTAGCCAGCTCCGTGTTGTTCAAGATATCGTTTTTTCAAATAGTGAATATTAATTTTTACGAGTTTTGGCTCGGCCGCGCTCGCCGTCGCCCTTATCGCTGTGCCGACCGGGGCCATGGCCCCCTCTGTACCCCCCACGCTACGCTACTGCCTTTCCTCACGCCTCCATCCACATTCGCTCTATAAATTTGTTCCGACAATCTACCAACATTCGTTCTTTCTGTCTAGACCATAGTTTCCTAAAGTGGTCCCTACCCCCCAAAGTGGGCGCTGAAGAGACCTACAGGGGCGGTAGGGGCCTCTGAAGTAATTGGGGGGTGTTGTAGCTGTCCAGGTGTTGCTACCGTATTTGAAAAAGAATACCTGAATTATCTATATAAACTACATTACAAAGAATATGTAATTTTTTTCCTTGTGATTTTTTGTGTTAATATAAAAAATAAGTGTTTTCAATTGCTTTTTATTTGCCTAGTGAGCCAAAAAGTTTGGGAACCTATGATCTAAACTAGACCATCGACGCATCCCCCTCCCTATCCTGGTCACTACATCATCTTTCATTTCATAACTACATCGTGTATTTCGATTGATCTTTGTCGAATTCGTTCAAATTGGGGATCCATCTTAGCTAATCTAGCGTTCTCCCACCTCTAACCAAACAAAATAGGGAACAACAAGAAAGAAAATCTCATTACCTACCCAGGCACAATTGAAGCAGTGCTGTGACTTGTTTAAATTACAAATTTTGACGCTGTATCATTTGCAATGATATAAGGTGTTATTTTCAACATTGAATTTTTGCACACTGTATGTATTTAGGTGTTACCCATCGTACCAGTCCATTAGACTACTGGTAACGACTTAAAATTATTTGGTATTATTCGTCATTTTTAATTCGTAGTCATATCATTTCTTGCATTATGTGGTACATAAAAAGGTCTTAATGTTATTTCAAGATCCAACTTAAACCCTGTAAGGGCACTGCAAATTAACGTTCTTTACTAAGTACAACATTATCTATTGTTATTATCTATTATCATTATCTATTTTTATATTTATGATCAAAAAAACTCCTGTAAATTATAAAAACACTTAGATAGTAACAATCCTTTCAATTTATTTGTAAACATATGTTCCTTATCTATATTTTTTATTGTGAAAGGTATTTTATTATAAACTTTTATTGCCATATGCTATTTACCTGAGCCAACAATGTGTTAATTTGTAAATGAGCTAAGTAATTGATATCTTCTTATTAAATTAGCTATAATTATAGGGATTATCCCGGTCTTGTTCAAATAAGTGACTATATTTTCTTACAAATTTACAGATTTCAAATATCGTAAAAAATTTTAAAGTAGTAAAATGTGGTCTACAAGTATCTTCGTCTAATATTCTAAAGCATTTCTTTTGAACAATAAAGATTCGTTGCTATAGCGTGTGTTTTTGTATTTCATATTTCAGGTGATAGTAAATGAATTGCACTCTCAAATCGAGTCTTTGAACGACTCGCTGGTGAAGCTGTTAATGGGAAGAGATGAGCTCCATATGAGCCAGGACTCCATGCTGGTTGACATTGAGGACCTTACTCGATATTTGTAAGTATTAATTACTTATGTTAACATACTTTCTAAAGTTTGACTTGACAAGATTCAGTTAAAGCCTCGCCATTTTGCGGAATTTTAAAGAACGAATTTCTATACTGAATACGGAAGTTTTGTTAATAGTTAATAATATTAACGTCGCCAAGATCTAACGGATATACGTAATGAGTTTCTTGATAGGTTTTACCCATTTTATCTACTTGTGTGCCTGTTTGATATTTTTGATAAATCTACCCGCTAATCGTGTAACTTGAAGGTCACGCTAATACTCAGTTTTCAATGTCAAATTCATTTTCAATAACAAGGTTTGGCATTAGACCCGACGCCCACTGTTGAGACAGCATGGCCAGGAATTTTTATGTGACAAATAGTACATAGGGCGCACTATAAGTTTCCGGAACTGGACACTTACATAAACAATATTTAAAAAGTAATTACAACATTTGAAAATGTAACTCTTTGGCTGTAGAATACGGTTTGTTTCATCTGACTGTTACTTGTTTTTACATTGTGGCGTCATTTTAGAAATTGGTTGTCTACATCACCATGGATTTAACTTGTGAAAATTTTCGTAGTATGATTTTCTACGACTTTAAGTGTAATTTAACAGCTCAGCGGAGATTCCCTCGGCTTCAAACTGCTTTTGGCGATGAAGCACCATGCAAGACGACTATTTATAGCTGTTAATCTCAGTGACGAATTTCGTGATGGTCGCCCGTCCACTGCTGTGAACAACAAAAACATAAATGCTGTGCGCCGTATGATCAAAACAGACAGGCATGTGACATACCATGACATTCGGGCATCTTTAGGCATAGGCATGAGTCAAATACAATCAATACTACAAACATCCAAATATTTGTGTGAAAAAACTGTGCTCTCCGTGGATCCCACACAATTTGACTGAGGCTCAAAAAACAGAAAGCGTCACTTGGTGCAATGACGTGATTACCAGATTCGACGAAGGGGCGCCAAATTTGGTATGACAACATAGTAAGAGATGACGATACATGGATTTATAGTTACGATCCCAAAACAAAGCAGCAATCGAACGTATGGGTCTTTCGAGATGAGCCGAAACCAACCAAAGTGGCGTGCATGCAGAGTGCCTCTAAGCGGATGATTGCTTCTTTTTTTAATAAAACAGGACACGTGGCTACTGTTGCTTTGGAGAATCGTTGTGCCGTGAATAGTGATTGGTACACGACCATTTGTTTGCTGGAAGTTATTGACAAACTCCGTAAAAATAACCGTAAACGCCGTATCATCTTGCACCACGATAATGCCAGTTCAGACAGACAAATTAATTTTTGAAGGTGAACAACGTTGACCTTATGAGCCATCCCGTCTACATTCCCGACCTGGCACCTTGTGACTTTTATTTATTTCCAAAAATTAAGAACCAGTTACGCGGTCAACGATTTTCATCACGTGAAGAGACTGTCGAAGAGTATGAAAAATATGTTTCAGATATTGTCACGGAGGAGTGGCATAAATGTTTTCAAAATTGGTTCATTTTTATTAAAAAGTGCATTAACGCTAACGGAGAACATTTTGAGAAACAATAAATTCATTTCTAACCATTTATAGTTTTTTTCTTGTTCATTCCGGAAACTTATATTGCGGCTCACGTAATATATCCTGATCGTATAACATAGCAAAATTTTTAATCATAATGTGGCTACGAATACAAAGCTGCGGTAAGCTTAGAGATATCGAGCCGGCAGCTTTCGGGATAATTCAACAGGGTTCAGGACGCCGAGTGCGAATGCGGATGCGCGGGGCAAAGGGGGCAAGCTCGACATGTAGTGGACGGTATGCTTCGACATGCCTAAGGATGCGATGTCATCTAAGGATATTGCCGTATTATCCTTAGTATAATTGCCGTCAGTGTGCGGCTACATGACGGATTAGTAAAGTTTTAGGAATGCAATTAGTATATTGTTGAGCATTGTAGTACAAATCGAGTATGGACGGTCAACATACAGCTCGACAAACATGGTATTGTTGATTGAAGCTGCTCAAACATTTATCGAAACGCACGATACGGTTTGACCAAGTTGTTAAGAACAATATTGTTTGTAACGTTGCAGAATGCTCCCTTGCCTTGCCGTTCCGCCAATGTGTGTCGAGCCTTATGCTTTGAAAGTGAAGCCTACTTTTGAGTCAGACGGTCCTCAGATTTGTCCTTTTAATAGAAAAGTGCGAGTTAACTGTTAGTAAGTTGACTGATTAATCCAGCCAACTATTTTTACCTATCGACGCAAAATCGGCTTGAGCCGTTTTGAAGCTTTATTTACCTCGGACCGCCAAAGAGACAATTTTACAATATTTTGTTTACTATTATTCTTTTTAAAATTTATGCGTCTTAAAGCAAATGAATGAAAGTGAATTCCAATGAGTCATATTGTTTAATTTTGCTCCTTGGGATTTATTTCTTTTTTGATAAAGTTTAAAATTTTATCTGCATTAATTATTAATATTTTTGTGGCTAATACATCTTTGGCTAGCTAATATCTAATCGTAGTAATTTAACTTTTTTTCAATAATTGATGAAAGTCGCTTTATAAAAAAATACCGATTAATTTAATGTATTGTTTTCAGGGGAGTAAAGGAGCAGACTAAGAAAACCAAAGGCAACAAATCAGGTGTAAGGCGGCTGACGTCGTTAGTGCGCAAATAAGTACACATATGGCTTCTATTTACTGCAACTTATCTAATAACAGGTCGTCGGAAATATTCTCAAGGGCAGTCACCCAACTTAACACATGGAATCGGCTTGAATCGATCAGAAAAAGCGTAACGTTTATGCAATAAGAGCGAAAAAGGCTTTGTGCGTTTCGCTTTGGTAGTCCGAGCCAAATAAAGTTTCTGAGCGGCTCAAGCCGATTTCCCATCGGTAAATGTGGTGTTTCCTTTATTTGTTGAAACTGAACATAAAGTATTTTCTGATAGATTTAATGCAATTCCGTGTCGATAAGTGTGGCGATTAAGGCGACGATATTCTCGTCTACAAAAATAGAATTCCTTTTTATTCCTCTTACCCTATATATAATATGCAAATTGATGAGGATGTGGAAAAAAATTATATTGCACATGAGATTGATTTTTATTAAAAACTGTTCGCCTAAATCGGACAGCAGATCCTTACAAGTGGTGTTCAGCAAACGCAAAGTAGTATCCAAGCCTGTCATTGCCATTTATTTATCATCTCCTGGCAAGAGTGTTTATAGTGAGAGGCTTTCAAATGCAGGAATTGTTTATGAGAAAAAGTGTAATCGTTTGTTACCAACCCGTGATGAAAAAATTGTTGTCATTCATCACAACCTGCCACTGAGTGATTTTAAATATTAAAGCAATAATTTGTGATTAAAACACACGATACATTTTGAATAATATGTGCGTTTTGTTCATTATTTGATATTCGGTATTCGGCCGAATACCGAAGAGTAGCTGAATATTCGTGGCATCTCAAGTTGAAACACTACTATGAAATGCTCTACTACGCTCCACTCCGGTATAGTGAACCTTGTTCAGTGTGACCAGGATATTGCCTACGACCTGTACTTTAATTACATTTAGACAAGGTGATTACAGTAAGGAAGTTACATTAGAATTTAACAATGCAAATAAAATACCAAATTAAAACAGGGACTGATGTTTGAAGGATGAACTATTATAGGTTGCAATTTAGTTCGAGTGAAAATAAGATACACATTGTATTCCAATAAAATTTTAAGACCGCATTTACTTTACATCTGTGTCTCTCGCTTAGTTTTAGTAAGCGCATTCAGAACAGATATAGTTTACGTCTATTTTAGATATAGACTACCAAAGCTCAATGAAAAGTGGTAGTGGTAGCACGATCTACAAACTAAGATCGTACCTCGTCAGATTCCTGGATAATTATTTAGAAAATTGCCTTTAAAAATTTTAAAAATGGGCTGTTTTGACAAAATTCTTAATGCAATAAAAAAATTTAGATCTATTTTCAAAAACCATGACATTAATGCTGCTAACAGATTAACTACATGTTTGCAGTTAATGCGTAAAGTCGTAATCAACTACAAGCGGTTAATGCGTGAAGTCGATCTCGACTTCATGCAGTCGAGGTCTCGAATAAGGACTTTACGCATTAACTGCAAACATGCCGTCAATCTGTCAGCAGTCTAAGAAAAGTTATTGTTTCTTTATATCTTAAAATTCTTTCTTCAATCCTACTATATTTTTTTGTATGAATATCAAATCTTTTGACCTAACCTGTGTCTGTGATGCCTAACTTGAGCAACTAAAAATAAATTAATATCATGGTATTAAACATCATAATATTCATTACAATCAATATTGAATATCAAGCTTTAAAATATAAAAAATACGGACGGAAGTTTTACCGAACTAGTGCTGTCTTGCCGACCCTCTCGCGCTCATTTCACGACTCATATAGATAGCAACATCATCAAACAAGGCCTGTACTCTTAAATGTGGTCAAGTCCATTTAGTTTAAGTATCTCTCGAGTTAGCGGTGTAGATGTAAAGTAAATGTACACAGATCGACCAATTTACCTGTATTATAGAAATGAAAGGAATTACCACTACCAGGTTGAAAAAGTTAGCATCGTAATACTGCATACACAACAGTGGCGTGGCGTGAAAATTGTCGTTAGTAAAGCCGGAGCCAAACAAAAAACACCTACCAGAAGAAATGATACCTTGGTGACACGTAAACACAACTTATTAGCATACAAGGTACTAGTATACTTCATTTCACTGGTTAACTTATTCCACACTTAAAATTTAGCACAAAATGCAGTATTTGATAATACGTGGGAAATTTACGGCAAGCCGGTGGAAATCGAGTTATACGGACGTCTCGCCACTGACACACAAAAGCGACGGTTTCTATTATAGATAAGTTATTAGATTTGTAAAGGTCTTTTTTATTGGTAATTATTGCCGTATCCACTCTATTAAATCCCAAAGCAAATGAAACAAGCTTAATGTGATGACAGAGAATACTTATTATATATTTTAATATATAATCTTTATTTTAATATATAGTAAGAAAGAACTTTGCCGCGACCTAGTCATCCCATCGAAGGATTGTGAATCGTACTGTATTAATTCTAAACCATATATCAGTAGCAAATAGGATACATATTTGCCAAGACTTATATCTCAAGTTTTAATGTAAACATTTTAATCTTAAAATAATGCTTACATTTCGTCGCAGTAAATACCAATTTGTGTCGTCATAATGATCTTGGTAACAGTCGTAATGGCTGAAGATAATATAATGAATAACTTAGTTACTTTCTGATGACAATACGAATGTTAGTGTCATAGGGTAATATTGACGCTACCATTTGCAGAAAAATAAACTTCTCAAATTTTCACTAATTATAAACATTCTGCCCTCCTTATCTATTTATTAACGTAATCGACATTTTAAGGAAATTTAGTTATTAATATCTGGAATCTGCAACACCCTATGAGTAATTTATTTTATATCTTATTTAGTTTCAGTTTTATTAACCGACTTCACACTGACATTTGTGAACTGATTTTGATGATTCTTTTTTTTTTGTTGGGTAGAGGGTATCTCAGTATTGGTCCCATTTTTTTTAGAATATCAAATGACGGGACGAACAAGTCGTGCGCCTTATGGTAAGCTACACGCCTGTCCATAACAGTTGCATTGCCACTCAGAACTTTAGATCGCAAAAATTCGAGGGGCACTGCCACTGCACCCGTCACTCTGAGACATAAGTTGGCAAGTCTCATGTGCTTGTAATTTCACCAGCACCCTTACCCCTTCAAAACAGGAACACAGTAATGCTGACATTATTGCTTGGCGGCAGAAATAGGTAAGGTGGCAGTACTGCCCTGGACGAATTCTTTCACAAGGAGCTCTGCTGCTACTAAAATTTGAAGAAAATTTAAATTTAAAGTATAGAAAGAAAATATTCCATCTCTCAGGGTGTCACTACAGGTGAATCCGGTTTCGCGCACTTTCCAGTAACCGATTTCAATAAAACTTGGGAAATAGATGTAATTCCACAATTTTTGAAGTCGGCTTTTTAGTACACTGTACTGAGATTATTGTTAAGCAAAAATCAATGTAATTGAAATTTTTTAAAGAGAAAAAGCAGATGCCAATATCTCGAAAGTACCAAACTGCAAATACGTTAGTTATAACAAGGAGGGCAGCATAGATATGGCAAGACAATGATCGAGAAGTGTTTCAATATTTGTTCAAAAATATTTACAAATGTTTCTCTCACGTTGTATTCTATGACTTATCGACAGGTGTTATTATTACCCAAAGTAACTGTTATATGTATTAGTTACTTTGGGTCTATTACTCTTAAGTTATATTTGTATATAAGGTTTCTCTCACTGGTGTATTGTACTCCGTCGCATTTTCCTATGTCTATTAAATAGTACGACAATTGTCTATGTATATTGGAATTGTATATTCAAAATACATGTCGCTTTAAAATAGATATTATTAGCCCACCTAGAAAAACGGATATTTTAAATTTGCAAATTAGGAGATGTATTTTTTCATGTTAGTGCTCATCAATCAATTCTGTCTGAACTGCAAGGTAAATGTAAATGATTCTTTCCTGTTTTTTTTTTATTAAAATAAATCTTTCATTGTTATGATTTTAAATGGCAGTCATTGTCGTTTTAGATTAGTACAAAATAATGTTGGTGCAAACCCTGCAGTTGAGATAGGAATCGAATTTAGGTAGATTCACATTTAATAGAATTGTAGGCATAGTGCACATGCCGATATATTATCAAATGCTGCGAAGATTTTCGGAATTGGGACAAAATAATGTCTCAATTTAACAAAAAGAAAATCGCGCAGATTATAGTTATTGATTACCACTAATATAGACCAATCAGAGGCTTTTAAAATCAATGTAGTTCACAATAAACTTCATTGGACCTTTTCATTCTTAGAAAGAAAGTGACCTGAGTAAAAATTTTGTGTTTTTCTGTTCTTATTTAAGTGCGGGATTTTATGGTGACATCTAAACTAATTTAGTTCTTAATTATATGATCATACTCGAACGCGTAGTGTTAAATTGAATTCTATGCATACGGAATCCATATAAGTTCATATTTAGTCTATTCTTTTTTCTACTCTTATCTTGCAGACTTTAAACCTTATGACTATTAACACTGGAGAAAATTTAGCAAAGAACTACCTTGCCTACCTTACTGGGCTTAAGTGATGTCATACGATACGAACAATCAGTCCATAGGTTGCAGGTTTGTGCACCCGAAACACTGGGTCATTGGTACATCGTCAACTCTTTCCTTCTATGCAAAGTACTAATAAAAAGCTATTTTAAATGTGCGAAAGAAGTATTCGTCCAACGTCATAATCTTCAACTATATATTTTAAACAAACATTTGTTAAATTTTCTACGGTGTTACAAAATTTAAATGTGTATCAGTATTTTTGCTATATTCTGCACTTGGTACTCCAAAGATATACGATGTTTCAAGTCTGTAATTTGACATTTAGGATCTCATGATTTTTATTTCTTGTGGCTACTTTTGGTGGCATTGCGGCGTTGTGGCGGTTCCTTACGAATTTACTACTATATTTACTTTTACTTTAGTATGCTAGGTATTTTATGGTTACCATTATTATTAATAAACTTTGGTCCCCAGTGTTCTGTAGTCCAGTCGTATTTTGAAAAAAAATAGATTAGTGTATTTAATATCGTCGTTTAGCAAACAACATCGCTCACATCGAAAATTAGCATTTTTACTTTTGAACGCTGCTCAAGTCAAAATAATACGTGAAAATTGACTCCCGGACCGGGAGAAATATTTGTATGGCCTACATTTGTTTCTCTCGTAAGTTTGGGTGTAATTTGAGATTGTCAATGTGTGTGTTCATGGCACCCGCGATACAGGGTTTCCCTAGTGCGGGGTTCTTGGTGTGTGCGTTATTATTATTATTAACCAACACACATACAATTATTTGTTATCCATAAACAGAGCACCTATCAAGATAATGACACTTGCTTATAAAACTCTTGTGTATAATTTTATTTATTTATTGAGCATTGACTATACAGCCATCAGCTTGAATTGGTAACAAATAATATTAAGAAACTCAAAACGTCATAATACTCAAACTAAAAATTGATTCGTGAAAAATTGTAAGTACAAAAACCCATTTTTTCTCTCTTGTGTATAAACCAATGGTCGGAAAAGGTGTTCCGCATATATGGATACATGTATAGGTATAGCTACAAGGAGCTACATAGAGTTGTTAAAACCACCAAAAATTAATTACTTTTTCAAATTCCGGATTTCCGGAAATGGTAATATATAAAGATTTTTATTCTCATTTAAAATTACTCGAAAGTGCTGTTCTTTTTTGCTAAGCGACGACCTGTAAATTTGTTATTAGCATGAACCTCTATATCATAACACGAGTATAGTTACTGAAGGCTGACCGCATGGCATGGATAAGAAATTTTGATAGTTTTTTGAGCTGTGTAATATCGTAAGGCTAATAACTCACGAGCTGTTTTCACTCGCACCCGCCACGGCTGCGGAACAGCGGTTTTATTTCAATACTTACGACACCGCAAACTTGGTGGGAGATGATCGTAAGTCACGCAGTTGTTTACAATCGATCGAGATCGTCGCCTGCGAACCGACAATTGGTGGTGACTGCGTTCCGCGCGATTCTACTATTACACCGCAAATGCTGCGTTTGCCGCGAGTAACCGCCCCCGCCACGGCGGGTCGTGAGGTATGCGACTAAATTTTACATACATATATATCTACATTCTACGGAAGCCATGGTCCCGCAACCACGCCGGGTACGGGTGAATACAACTCCGTAAGTTACTTCGCCTGAACTATAAGTTAGGTTATACGTTCCACTTATTATCAGTCGGCGTTTGACAATATGTGAACGTCAACGCCATTTTACTAGCGAATGCTCAGCAAGAATAAT